CAGTGAGGGATCGGGAGGCGGGGGGCGGGTGCCCGAGCACTAACGACACACCCAATTATGACCGAGTCACACGGTCTCGGGGGGTGCGAAGGCAGTGAGGGGTTGGGTGAAGGAGGGGTGAGTGCCCGAGCACTGACGACACACCCAATTATGACCGAGTCACACGGTCTCGGGGGGTGCGAAGGCAGTGAGGGGTTGGGTGAAGGAGGGGTGAGTGTCCCAGCACTGACGACACACCCAATTATGACCGAGTCACACGGTCTCGGGGGGTGTGAAGGCAATGAGGGATGGGGAGGCGGGGGGAGGGTGCCCCAGTACTGACGACACACCCAATTATGACCGAGTCACATGGTCTCGGGGGATGTGAAGGCAATGGGGAACACCCAGAGCTTATGCAGCATTTGCATGATGGACTACAACATGGGTCTTTGCCTGCAAACAGCCACTTAACTTAGCTGTAGGCGGGTAGTTGTTCTTGAAGCCGATGGTCCCACGCAGTCAGATAATGCCTGCACAAGCACATGGGGACCAGATGCCTGTTTCTGAGACAATTTTACTGCGTATCCTAGCCAATCGCGTGTTTCAAGGTTGGCGCGGGCTTAGTTGCGCTCAGGTGTGGTGCGGCCATGCAGCGCAGGCGGCCCATGGCAGCGCTGCGATGCTGCATGTAGCCGGAACACGCTGGAGGCCATGGTTCAGGCCCTGCACGACCCTCACAGCTCACCGTCAAATATTTTATGATTCTTAACGCGCATGAGCGCCGCACGCATGCAGGGCAGGGAGCGCTGTTTTTCCGCAGAGCTGCTGTGTGTCGTTGTTCGCAACAGCCTTATGTATGTGTTGCAGTGAAATACAAAATTACTCGGATTATGTGTACTTTGATCGCAGCGCAAGCGACGAGGTGTGTAGATGTTTCTGCGTTGACGGACCTTCACACGAGCTCCTGTAGTTGGTGAAATTGCTTCGCCCATCGCGCACAATGATTCGGTTTTACAAGATATAAATTCCAGTCTCATGTATTTGAAGCCGCCAAATAAAGCCGAGTCAAGCTTGACTTGACTACACAGGGCGCGCTTCTTCCAAACTCGCGCATACACACGCACGATATGGAAAAGCTACCGTATTATGGCATGAAGGCCGGCCAACTGGCCTGGCACCTCTCAGGGCTGCTGGTTCGGTATCTGAGCGATCGGGCGCTGTTCTGCGGCGTGCGATCTCTCGCACTGCTGCAGACGTACACCAGCGGCGCGTGGACATTCACTCGGACCATCCCCGTAAGAGTAGCAACTTGAGAACGTGAAGTGCAAAGCGGCTGGTCTGTCCGGAAGGGGCCTAGCGCGCGGGCGATGCGCCCATGCACACATGTCTGCGCATGCTGCACCGCGCCCGCCACCACGCTCGCTTGGCTCACCTGTTGGCTCCTGTCGACATGGAAGCGATCCTGCTTGATGAGGGCTGTGCACTTTGTCAAAACGCAACCCATCAGGTGTACCCCCCGGACACGGCGATCACGAACGGCGACCAAGCCGCGACCCTGCCCATCACGGGCCCCGGGGCCGCCCAGCCGCCGGACGCCAGCCTCCCCCGCATCAACAGCCTCCTGGACCTCATGACGCCCGATGACATCAGCGGGCTCCAGACGGAGGACGTGGTGGACTGCTACTTCTCACCTGAAACGGGAACGGGCGCCACCAGCGTCGTCATCGCGCCAGCCAATGGGGGCGTGCCGATGATCCTCCTGACAACAGGTGCGTGTGCACCATGCGTGTGCACCATGCGTGTGCACCATGCGTGTGCACCATGCGTGCGCACCATGCGTGTGCACCATGCGTGCGCACCATGCGTGTGCACCATGCGTGTGCACCATGCACGCCCCACACGATGTGGCGCCTGCCGGTTCTGAGCTCCTTGTATGCTCATCTGCTTGCAAGCCGCGGGCTGTTCGGCCCAGCCAGCGTATGGGTGTGCACCTTGGAAAACCGTGACGCTCTCGTGCTCAGCACTGCATATGCAGCGCGATGCATCGCGCTGCGTCACGTCATTGTGATTTGTTGGGGGCCAGCCGTGGCTGCCACTTGATTGCAGCACATCCGTACCCGCACTTCAAAAGGGCGCACGGATGCAGTGAGACCATTTCCAGCAACAACTTTGCTGCCGGCCACGCACCCCGGGCTGCTTCAATTCTTTGCAGACAACGTGAAGATCATGTACGTCCAGGGTGACGACGTGCTGGCGCACCCTGCCGCATTCAACCCGGCTGCCGCCTGCTGGCGCCGCATGTCCAAGGCGGAGTGCTGTTACGCCTACGCGCCATGGATCGACCTCGCCAGGGTGAGCAGGCCGGCTGGCCAGGCGCTGGCAGGGGGCTGAGCGGAGTGCCAGGCAACGCCCTCAAGCCAGCTTCACGGTTCAAAACTGCATGGACACACTTGCTCAGCTGCCAAACAATGCTCGTGGGGCTTCCTCAAAGGACGCGTCATGGCAGGTGGCGCATGTTTTGCATGATGCAAGGTGGGATGCAGGATGCATGTTCATGCATCCCCAACAGTAGCCATGCCGCCAAAGCAGCGTCCACCCTGCCGCCCCAACTGCTGCTCATCGCGTGCAGCACCTCGCCGGCCGCCTGCCGCTGCCCCCGGGCCAAGATCTGGCGCTGCCCACCGGGGTTCTGGTGATCTCCAAGTCGGGCCCTGGCAAGGGGGCGCTGAAGCGCAGCTTGGAAGTCGAGTACCGGCCCGCCGGCCGCCAGGCTGGCCCCAGGCACGGCGGCAGCGCGCGGCGGGCGCTGGCCGGGCACTACCGGACAGCGGCGGAGACGCTGCTGGCGGCGCACGCGGCGCGCGGCCAGCTGATGGGGCTCGCCTGCGGCCTGCTGGACCGCCCGTTTTTTTCCAGCGATGAGATTGCGCGCGAGGTGCGGGGAGGCTTCCAGCGGGGGAGGATCCGACCCGCTCGCCGCAGATTCGGCAGTGCGGGCAGCCGACCTGGTGTCTCGGCGTCCGCAGGCGCGGGCTTAGTGTTGCAATTGGTGGCTAGGCCTTTGGGGCAGCCTGGTTCTCTGCCTTGCGAACCATCTGACAAGCGCCGCGGTCAAGGCACAGGACCTCACCGCGGCCTAGTGGTGTTGGATGCGATTTACCTTGCTTGTTGTCCAGTGGTCAAGGTCGGTGGCCCATAATCATCCTCCACCCGCCTTGCTCCATCACCCACGGCGTCACCCGCGACTAAAGTTTGGGCGCGCCACTGGCTACGACTACGATGAGGTCAGCAGCCTGGTGGCGGCCAGCCCGCAGATGGCGGCTGCCGTGCGCTGCTGCCGGCTCGCCACACAGCAGCCCCAGGCAAAGGTCGGCTTGGCAGACGCGGCGGCGCCAGCAGGCACGGACGGGGACGAGGAGGGCTGCGAGGGGCCGCCAGATGCTGCCGCCGGAGCGCAGGGCGGCAGGGCGTGCGGCTCGCGGCGG